ACAACAACATCAACAACAGCAACCGGTATATATCAACAACATCAACAACAACAGCATCGCATCAACAAAACAACATCAACAACAACAGCATAGCAACACTACCAACAACACTTTTTTTAATGAGTTTTATGATTTTTTGTAGTCTATTGGTGAGAAGCTTTTTAAAAATCTTTTCATACATGCAACTCTGTAAAAATACAAACATACGAAACTTGTACACATATACAAAATCATACATACATGCATACATGAATACATGTACATGTGTACATTCACACACATACATTCGTACATACCATACGTACAAACTTAAGTACATGCATATTTTATGATATTTGTTCAATGTTTCTTATTCAAGTGTTGCCTATGACGTCACACTTGAATATTAATTAAGCACTTCCTCCATCCATCTATCTATCTGCATTTTATTCATTTTTATGTGTCTGTCTGTTGGTCTGTGTATTTGTGCACTCTATGTGTGGGCTTAGATACGCGAAGGTATAAGATGTATATAGATGTCTGTCTGTCTGTTTGTGTGTACGTGCCTGCCTGTAGAATGTTAAACTAATATAGAAAGATAAAAAGGAGAAAAATATAGAAGAAAAGCGAGAAAAAGAATAATAGAAAGAGAGAGAAAGAGAGAAGGAGAGAGAGAAAGAAAGAGAAAAAAGACCTAAAAGAATGAGGTATTATATTTTGTTGATAGTCGGACGTTTTTATGTGTAACGAGGAAGAAAGGTACTGCACATCTTTCTGCTTCTTTCGCAAGAGGAAGCCCAGACAGAGAGAGAGAGAGAAATATGAAGATAGATGGAGAAAAAGAAAGAGAAAGAATTAAGGAGAGAAACGAAAAAAAAGTAAGAGAGAGAGAAGGAAAAAAGAAGAGAGAACGACTTCGTCTCAATGTTCAATCACAGCAATTCCTTATTTCCATAATATTAAAAGTATTCGATTCCGCAATGTTCCATGTATTCTACACCGAATGCAACATTTGATAGCCGATTCAACTCAGCATTAAATTAGTATCCAATTCAATCGAGTATTTAACGAGCGAGGACAGCCACATTATGAACATGCATCCTGCATGCCTGTGCTTCTTACTATTAAGATGATACATTAACAGGGTAGGCTGTGATGTTCGTCAGACATTCATCTGTTAAAGAATTGATGTGTGAGAGAGTGAGAGAGAGAGGGTAAATAAAAAGAGTATGTGTATGTGTGTGCAGTAATACACATACTTGTTCCATTCATTGAACTACCATCTATCTTCAGCCCGCCCACATATTCATTCACGCACATTCGTACTATTAATTGTATATTTGTATGTATATACGTTTGTTTGCTTGCTTATATTAAAAATAAGCACGGGAAAGAATCGTGGAAATCTCTAACCCTAACACCTTAAAACTATATAAGTACCTATCAGATATATTAATTGAATCTAACGCCCTGGTTTACGATTGTCTTGTTCTCACTTTTCGCTAACTCGTGGTAAACACTCTTTTGCTAAATCTGCATTTGCTTTTTCGGCCCTTTTCTCTGGAACTCTCTACCTTTTTTTCTGACTACTTCTCAATCACTTACGAAGTTCAGAGCGGGTCTCAAAACTAGAGATGAACATATGAAGGGGAATCGCGAAAATCCCATGGAATTCACATGGAAATTTATAAAACTTAATTTTTGGGAATGAGATTTTTAGAGAATAAAAAATGAAGACGTTTCTGTAAATCTGCATTTTTAACAAAATTTGTGTTTTTTGTGTTCGAAAATTTTAAAAATGAAAAAATGGGAAATGGCAGGGAATAGGAGGGAAAACGCGGAAATGAGCTAAAAATAGGAAATGGGAATTTTCGGAACCGTAGTCATAAATGGGAATTCGGGAGAGAATCGGGAATGAGAAAAAAAATGAAAGGGAATTGGGAACAATTTTCAATTTTCGCTAACCTCAAATTTATATGTATGTATGTATATGTATATATATATATATATATATAAGTGTGTGTGTGTGTGTGTGTGTGTGTGAGTGAATAAATGTACGCTGGGGTGTATATAAGCCAGCTTGTTAAGCTTATTTGAAGTAGTTTCTAGATAGTACGTGCCGTTAGCTGAGAAGGCGATTGATTAATTTGTTTGGTTAGTTGATTTGTTTGTTAGTTGAATAGTTACAAACACACTACACACTCACCCACACACACGCGCGCGCGCACGCACACAAAAGAAGAACAGAAGAACATCACCATCATGTCTGACAAATGTGAATGGCCAGAACTCGTTGGAAAAGTGAGACAAGATGTTCAATTTTTTAAAATTCACCCTTAGTAATACAGCTCTGTCAAACGCAAATAATAAAATACGGAATTTTTCAGGGTTATCAAGGATACACACACAGCGTATGCATGTGGTAGTTGAGAATATCTTTGCATTCAAACGCGGTCGGTGACGTTCACAGCAACTCAGGAACAGGCGCTTCTAACCATTAGGCCAGCGTGAGAGCCGCCCAACCAATAACAATGATAATTTATATTTATAATGTTGTTATTTCTTAATTATTTTTAGACAGGGAATGAAGCGAAAGAAATCGTTCTCAGAGAAAGGCCCGACATGAACTTGGTGAGTTTCCTGACACCTGTCGAAGATTTGTAAAAAAAATTGTATTATAGTAAATTTCATAATTAAATTAACTATTTCATTGAATTTTATTAAAAATATTTGTTATAAAATATTTATATATTTTCATTAATGTTTATAATAATGATATCCCTGAAAGTTGGTGAATGAATAGTTAAACTTTTCTACGGATTCAAGGTTCAAGTTTTACACAAAGATTCGCCAACGACAAGAGATCTGAGAGATGACAGAGTCTGGATTTTTGTCGATGACGATGGCAATGTTGTCACCATACCAATCATTGGATGAAAAACTAGGGAAGGTCAAAATGGAGAGGAGTGATTGGTCGATGAAATGAGTGTGGGATTTGATTGGTGGTTAAGAATGTTTAGTTCGAATTGGAGTAATTTGATTGACTGCTAGATTTATAAAAGCATGATTGGTCACCAGATTTACAGTGGATCGAATTGATGTGACTTGATTGGTCGGTATAAATATATGAATAAATCAAATTGGAAAAATCTGATTGGCTGCCCGATTGTCGGTGTCGAAAGGGAGTATTGTGATTGGTTGATTGATAGGTTGATAGATTGCTTGACTGATTAATTTACATGAGAATATTGAAACTTTTGTAAATGTTTGTTTTGCTAAATTAAATATAAATCCCACGAGATATAATTGTAAAATGGAGCGTCAATAAAAAAATTCAAAATAATATTTCTGTCTAATTTTGGAAGATCGTAAATGAAAATATACTATCTGCGTATTAAAATTAAAACAAATAAACACTCGGGCGTTAGAAACATCGGCGCGCTATTCAGCATCACATCTGGTCGTATGTAACTTTAGGGGAAACTTTTCTGACTAAGATGATGAGGTCGACGAACCCCTGGAATGAAATACGATTTATTGTTGTGATTGACTGAATGTTTACTTGCTTGCTTGATTGATTGGTTACTTATTTGATTGATTGGTTGGGTAGTTGACTGGTTGTTCAGTTAATTGATTGAAAAGTTTGCTGATTGACTGATGAAATCGTATAAATCACACATAAACAATTAAACATGCATAAAAAATCTCTAACAGCAAAAACAACATAGACAGACACAACTATTCAACGCTTGTGTAGACATATAGAGATAAACACATTTACAGATAGACAGACAGATGGGCACACACGTACACAGGCATATAGACGTTCGAGCAAAGTTTAGAGTTTATCCTACTCCATTCGTGAACTGCAAAAATGATTGATTGATGTTGATTGTTAAGCTGGTTGTAATAAGAATTATTATTTTCATTTGATTTTATTATTTGTTCTTCTTCTCTTTATTTTTATTATTTCAACCTTTCAACTTATAAACTACATTAAAATTAAGTTCGTTATTATTTATTGTTGTCATAAGCATCGTTATCCTTTTTCTTCCCCTCTTATTATTATTATTATTATAGTTAGTGCTAATTTTTTCATTATTGTTCTTCTTCTTAATATTATTGTTTAGAAAATTATTACTAAACAAATTCCATTCAAAACAAAACAGCGCAAATAAAAAAATCAAACATCGTCGAATCCAGGGCTAAGCCACCGACACCCCAAGGGTAGTAGGAGGCTTAGGTCAAGTTCAATTTGAAGACCCTTCAAGACAATAAATAACTAACCACCTGAAATTTTTTAACATTTTGAGCAAGGGTGGATCTAGACAACTTTGGTAGGGGGTGGGCAAAATTTTGAAAATGTTTAAATTTGGAAAACTAACCAAATTTGTTGGTGGCCTATAGATCCGTCACTGCGGTTGTTTCAAGTTAAGGTTATAAGTTATTTAATCGGTTTTTTCCAAGTATTTTTCGATATTTTGTTCAAAAAACCATCTATGCTGAAGAAAAAATTTGTCAAAATATGATAGTGGGTTTGATTATTTCTTTCGGACGTCACTCTGATATTGATAAGAAGATTAATATGAATAATAATAATTTAAATATTCATTGTTAATATTTTTTCTACGTTACTGTCACAATGATAATGGACGAATAAAACGAATCTAGACGCTTTTGTTCAGGTTTGTAATCTGGCTATTTATGATGCAACAACAATAATAATAATAATAATTTAAATAATAACAATAGTAATGATGATAGTAATAATAATAATAATAATAATAATAATAATTTAAATAATAATAACATAATATAGTATGAATGTTTTAGTTTTATATTTTAATAAAATGAAAGACGCGCATTCGATTGTTGTCTACAAATGTGTATATATACATTCGAATTAAAAGAATGCATGCTAAATGAAATGTACGTTTGTATGTATGCATGCATGTATGTATGTATGTGTATGTACATGTGTACATATCATTTGAAAATTCAAACATTTGCCTCGCTTAAAAGTTAGCCTAAGAAACTCGTGAACTAAACTTTTATAAAAACAGTTTTATTGATTTATTTTAAGACTAAATAATTATACAAATAATAATAATAATAATTGTTATTATTATATTTAAATTAATAATACAAAACAATAAAAATTTACCTATAGATTTAAGTGATTGTTATAAGTTTTCAAGACTTTTGGTGGAAACTGAAAATGATGAACATGGGAACTGATATACAAGGTGGGTTATTATTATCATTGTATTTATTATTATTATCATTCTATTTATTATTATTATCATTATAACAACAATAATAATAATAATAATGAACCGCAGGGCCAGACAAGATACTGCCGACTGAAAATATTTTCACCTGGAAACGTGATTGTGTTAAATTAAGGCATTTCGTTTACAACAACAACAACAACAACAACAATAATAATCTGGATAATGGCTGTGATGACGATGCGTTCGCTCCATCCGTTTCCATTGTGACGAAGTTTAGGCAGGAAGCTGAGAAATACGCTGAAACTATTGCAATGGGTGGGACACCATCATCATTATCTTCTTCTTCTTCTTCTTCTCTTCTTCTTCTTCTTCTTCTTTTTCTTCTTCATTTTCACCGTCATCATTATCATAATCTTCGCAATCGATATGACAATCATCATCATTGCTATCATCGTGATCATCATTATAACAATGACCATCGTCGTCGTCATCATCATCATTACCGCCACAATCATCATCACCATCATCATCGTCGTCGTCGTCATCGCGATGGCAGTTGACAGGGGCGACGGCAGCCCTCCTCACGTAGTAACCTACAGGGACTACCACCATCAAGTCATCCACGTCGCCAAAATATTCATCAAGGTGAACCATGACATTAATTACTACAATAACAACAACAATCATTACAGCAACAATAATAATAATAATAATAAAAATAATAATAATAATATTATTATTATATTATTATTATTAATTATAGTTGGGCCTGGAGGTTGAGCATAGCCTCGGCATCATCGGATTCAACTCACCGCAGTGGTTCATATCTCACCTCGCCTCTATACATGCTGGGTTATAATTATAATTATAACATATTATAATTAATATAATATTGATAATTATTATTATTATTGTAATTAATTCTCGCATGTAACAGTAACACGCACAAATACGTGTGAACCTTCTCAGAGATACATGCTTCGTGAATGTTGCAATGTGGGCGGGATCTCGTCAATGTAACAAAATAATAATAATAATAATAATAATAATAATAATAATAATAATATCCTCATCATCCTCATCCTCATCTTCATCATCATCACCATCAGAGGTTTTTCCGCGGGAATTTACGCGACGAACTCGAGAGCGGCCTGCAAGTTCATCTGCCAGGATTCCAGGTGTGATGTGGTTGTCGTGGAGGATGATAACCAACTGAGAAAGTTCATTAATGATGATGGTGGGTTCTTATGATGGTGATGATAGCTTAACATTCATCTTTTCATTAATCCATCTATTAATCTTTCTATCTATCTATCTTTCTATCTATCTATCTTTCTATCAATCCATCTATTTATCTATTCATTTATTATATCTAGCCCCGATATGATTCATTTTTATATTTATCATTCTTTTATTTATCAATTTATTCTCAAATTTCCCATTCTCATTCCATAATTCGTTCATTCGTTCATTAATTAATTAATTAATTAAGTAATTCATTCATTCATTCATTCATTCATTCACTCATTCATTCATTCATTCGTTCAGGTAAACTTTCTTGGGGCATAAAGGCAATAATACAGTACAGAGGCAAACCTTCCGTCACTCATCCAAATATTTACTCGGTGATAATGATGATGATACAATAATAATAATAATAATTATTATTATTATAATAATAATTATTATTATGATTGATGATTGCAGTGGAATGATATAATGACGATGAAGACGAGTGATGACGATGACGTTGAACTGGGGAGAAGGATTAACAATCTGGCCGTCAACAAGTGTGCCGTCCTCATATATACGGTGAAATTATTATTATTTAAAATTATTAATGATAATGATAATAATAATTATTATTATTGTTTATTATTAATAATAATAATAATAACTATTATTATTATTATCGCTCTTTTATGATTTCAGTCAGGAACTACGGGCGAACCAAAAGGAGCTATGCTAAGCCATGATAATGTTTGTTTATTTGTGTGTGCGTGTGTGTGTGCATGTGTGTGCGTGTGTGTGTGTGTGTAAAGTGTGGATATCATATATACATTGACCTATTTTTATTAACATCCACATACAACCACACACAAACACACACACACATTTACACACACAGATCTTATGGACAGCCCAGCGTATGATACGTCACGTTCGGCACATGATACACTGGGACGCATCTAGAGACACGACCAATGACGTCATGGTTTCGTACTTACCGCTCAGTCACGTGGCAGGCATGATGCTCGATCTTTATTGGCCAATGCTGTGTGGAGGCGGGACGACATATTTCGCTAGGCCAGACGCTTTGAAGGTTGTTTGTCGTCACTGTCATCGTCATCATCATTATCACCATTGCCATCATCAGCATCGTCATCATCATTATCATTATTAAACGTCACAGGGCTCACTTTTAAAGACAGTGAAAGAGACACGACCGACATTTTTTTTCGGAGTACCGCGAGTTTGGGAGAAGATGCGTGAGAAAATGATGGCGCAACTGAGTGCGAACACTAATCCCATTAAAAACTGGATCCTCAACTGGGCCAGGGACGTCGGGATGGAGGCCAATAGTCGGTACGCGTTCAAGTATTTCTATCTGTTGGCTATTCGTTATTTAGTTTTGCATCTTTAATGATGTTTGTCGGAGATTTTTTAAATTTGAAAACATTCCTCTCACAAAAAAGGTTTTTTTTTAATCATTTTCAAAAACTGAATAATTCAATATTTTATTATCTTTCAAAAAAGTTATTTTTTGGACAATACACAGGCGCCCACATACAAACGCCCACATACAAACGCTCACATAAAAACGCCCACATACAAACGCCAACATACAAACGCCCACACAGCAAACCGAAACCGTTATTATTCGGATTGGCAAAATTGTTAGTATTCGACAAGATTCGAGTCGAACTCGGTTTAGATCGAAGCCGAATTTTTTACACTGGCGGAGCACCGAGCAAAAAAGAAGTGTTGGACTTCTTTTTGGGTTTCAACATTCCCATCATGGAGCTGTACGGACTGTCGGAAAGTTCCGGTCAGATTTTAATGGATCTTGTTAATTTAGAAAATGTTGATGTACCAGTTAAATTTTATTTTCTTGATTGGTTTGTTCAGCCTGTAAAATTTGGTGCTATGACATCACAGACACTTGAACTGTTGACTTATTTTATGTGTGACCAACTGCCATCACCGTACACTCAATCAACAACTGGCTTCTGTAACTTGACCAATCATACCATGGACCTTTAATTTGACCTAGCCATCGCAACCAATCACTGTTCAGTAACGCAGTACGGACATTCTATTTGACCAATCACGTCGCAGACATTTGGTAGGATCTAATTAATTCAACCAATCACAGGCCCCCACACAGTCAACTTGCCAGACGAACCAAATTTTGATTCCCAGGGAAAAGTCGTCCCAGGGTTTTTGTGCAAATTTTTAAAAGTGGATGACGACAACAACCACTATAATCATGATGAAAGTAAAGATGATGATGGTGATGATTATGGAGAGGCTAGTTATGATAATGATACTCATTTATTATTATTATTATTATTACTATTGTTTTTATTATTACTTTGTAGTAGTAGTAACAGCAGCAATATAATTATACATCTAAAACCTTGCCAAATATAGGAAACAAACAAACAAAAAAAAACAAACAAACCACATATAATTTAAACATATCATTTATAAATCAATCATAATAATTATAAACCATAATTAATAATAATATTAATAAAAGCAATAATTACGCATAATTAATTAATAATGATAGATATGCATGAACGGGCGGCAGATTTTCATGGGATATTTGGATAAGGAGGTGCTGACCAGACAGGCATTCACGGAGGATGGCTGGTTGAGAAGTGGAGATCTTGGTAGGATGGATCGAGATGGATATCTCTACGTCACAGGTCGCTTAAAAGGTTGGATGAGTGATTGGACGAATAAATGGATAATGTTTTGTACATTCATTCATTTGTTCGCTCGATCATTCTTTCATTTGTTCTTCAATTTATTTGTTCATTCATTCACTAGGTCATTCATTCATTCGTTCATAGTTCGATGATTCTAAAATTGGTAGTTGCATGTTTGATGCATTAAAAAGTGTTTGCTGGTGACTTGTTGATTGACTGATTGATTGACAACTTTTTAAATATCGCCCACCATAGAATTATTAGTAACAGACGGTGGAGAAAATATCGCGCCCTTGCCCATAGAATCAAGAGTTCATCAGCGTCTGCCGTGTTTAAGCAACTGCATGTTGGTGGGCGACAAAAGGAAATTTTTATCTATGCTCATTACATTCAAAGTTCTTTGTTTTTTATTTTTCTTTTTCTTTTACAATTTTTTCAAATTGAATTATTTTTTATCACATTTTGTCATTTCAATCATCAACATCAACATCATTTCAGTCATCAAGCATATCATCGCCATCATCATCATCACCATCATCACTATCATCATCATCACCACCATCTTCATCATCGTCATTGTCACCACCACCAGACAAACATAGACACAACTACTGGAGAGCCATCAGACACATTGGCTGATGACGTCATAACCTGGTGCAGAAGTTTTCACTCCCAGGCCAGGTTTATTATTGTTATTATTATTATTGTTGTTTCTATTTTTATTTTCGTTGTTAGAAATGTTGAACATTTGACGAACGTTAATATTGGCCAACTGAAGCATCAGCATGAAATGTTCACCTCACAACCTCCAACCACCAATCAGGACCGTCCAAGATTTGATAGCCACGCCGAATACCAGTGACGTCATGAGAGCAATTCAGCACGTGATCGATGACGTCAACATGGAAGCAACATCGAACGCGCATAAAATTCAAAAATGGCTCATTCTTCCGAAAGATTTCAGCCTCGGAGGAGGTGAACTAGGTGGGTGAAGACCATTTCATTCGTTCATTCATTCGTACATTAATACATCATTCGTTCATTCATACATTAATTTATTTGTACTTACATTCATTCATTCACTCATTTATCCATTCATTCATTTTTAGGACCGACTTTGAAATTGCGAAGGAAAGTGGTCACGACCAAATACGAAAAATTAATAAACGATTTGTATGACGTCCATGTTGTTAATAAATTGTAATTCATCTGATGATTGAATGACTGAATGAGCGACTGAATGAATGAATGAATGATAAATGAATTAATGAATGAATGATGATGAATTAATGAATCGGGGAATGAATAACTCGCATTTACTTATCGTTAATATTTGGACAAATTAGTTCATCGCCACTTCAAATGTTCTTAAATAATGTTTTTATGATTGATGTTATAGCGTAACAACAACAACAACACTAACAATAATAATAATCGTTATTGTTCTTGCTTTTATTCTTATTATTTTTATTCTTCTTCATCATCTTATTGTTGCTATTTTAAATTTCGTCACTCCCGCTATTTTAATAATAATGATCTGTTTGAAGGCTTTTAAACTAACATAGACTCATAAACTCGATTAAAATTTTTTCGTTATTATTATAATTTAGTATTATTATTCATAAATAAATATTAAATAAACTTTCTGATAACTTGTATCAGTGCTTAAACGTCAGTCATATAAACTGCTCGATGATTGTAGATAAGTTTGAGACACCAACGAGTGCTTTTTGTAATAATTTTAATCGGTCCTTTTTAAAATTTCATGACCAATTCTTTCTAATGTTTTAAGGTTATAAACGTTATAGAAACTGTTTACTGTTATAAGATTATCACAAGGTAAGGGTGGGCAAACTACGGCCAGCGAAGCTATTTTATGCGGCCCGCGAGGTCTTGTTTGCCAATAAAAAGGTCACCAGCCAGACATAAACACCAAAAAAGGAGCAACAAATTTTACAAAAATTGTTTCCCGGGTCGAAAAAATTTGCTATTTAAGTACATCTGCGGCCCTACAAAGATAAAATAGTTCTTAATGCGGCCCTCACAGCAAAATGTTTGCCCACCCATGTTTTATGACATTAATTGTTAAAAAAACAAATTATAATAAGAATTTAAATGTATAAAGTTATTGGAAGATGTTTGCCCTGTAATTAGGACACCCCATCATATTGTGACTACATCAATCTCGTCATCTTCATCATCGGCGTCATCTGTTTCGTTCATTTTCTTTTCGTCATCATCTTCAGCAACAACACCAGTTGTGGCAGCGGCAGTGGCTGTATGATCTGCAGTGGTAGAAGCGACTGAGGTAGCGACAGCAGTTCTAGCAGGAGTATCAGCAGTGGTAGTTGTTATTAAACTACTAGTAAGAGCAGCACTAACTGCATTATTTGCAGTATCGTTACCAATGGTAGTAGTAATGAAATTAGCAGTAGTGGCAGCAGAAGTAGCCTCCGAAGTAGCAGCACTAGCGCCGGTGTTGGTATTGCTGAAAACATGGTAGTGACGTTTTTTATGTTTGTTTAAATTGCTCGGGTCGTTGCAAGAGAAACCACAAACATCACACACGCACGGTTTTCTGCCAGTGTGCTGGTTTTTATGAATTTCGAGGCCATTTTTGCGCCTGAAGACTTTGCTGCATATGTCGCACTTGAAGCTGCTTGCAGTTTTGTCGTTTTTGAAGTTGTTGTGGATGCTAAAGTTGTTGGTGGTGACCGTATTGTTGGTACTGTTGTTATTGTCGTTTGTTTTCTCGTTCGTATTCTTTCTGCGTGGTTCTTCCGCTGTCAGGGAATTTTGTTGTGGTTGATATTGTTGCAGTTGTGGTGGAAAAAAGTGTAGTTGCCTTTGTTGCTGTAGCTGTACTAGTGATGGATGTTGTTGTTGTTCATGAAATTTTTCTATTTCTTGCTGTTGTTGCTGCAGAAGTTGTTGCCACTGTATTTGTTGTTGTTGCAGTTGATTTTCTTGTTCTTGCAGATGTAGTTGGCGCAGTAGACGTTGTTGCTGTCGATGTCGCTGACGTAGTTGAAGTTGTTGCAGTTGTAGTTGTGGTTCATGTTGCAGTTGCGGTTCATGTTGCAGTTGCAGATGGTCCTCCAAGAGTGGTGGTGGAAAAAAAGGAAGAATTATCGGTAGACTATGTTGAAAATTTTCTTGGGGATGATTTAAAGAAAATTGCTGCCGCTGCTGCTGCTGTTGTAGCGGCAACAGCAGCTGTGGTTGGAAATGTGGTAGTTGTAGATGAGGTGGTTGTGGCAGTAGGAAATTTAGCTGCTGTTGCGGTTGTTGTGGTAGGACATGGGGTTGTTGTGAAACACGAGATGAAGAAACGTTGCTTTTGTTGCTGTTGTTGTTTTTATTTTCGCAGTTGAGATCCATTTGACGTTGGTTTTTTTTATCTTGGCTGTCGCGGTCGTCCTTGTGGCAGCTGTTGTTGCTGCTGACGCCGATGTTGATGCTTCCAAAAAATTGTCGTTGTTGTTGATTGATCAGATAAGATTTGATTTCGAAATCGATAACGTATTTTGAGCCTATATATACTTCCACACATATGTCATTGTCATCATTAATCTTGTTATAATATTGAGACATATTCAATGTTCGTCCGATTGAAAGGAGCAGAAGATTTTATTACAAAATAAACTTTCTTATTATTTCTTATTATTTTTTTGTTATTTTTTATTATTTCTATTGTTGATGTTAAACAGTTCAAAGTTCAGATCTTTGGGATTTTATTGGTTCATCGCCTTTGATTCATTGGCTGATTTTTATTGCACCCACTCTCCGTCTGGCTTGCCACATTTTCAAAATCTTCCAATAAACATTTTTATTATTGTCATTGTTTATTATTGTTATAATTGTTATTATTGTTATTATTATTAATTTTATTGATTATTATTGATTGATTTTTACTGGACAGCATCGCCACACGTTTTCAATATCATCCAATGTTTGCAACTTTCATCATTATCACTACTGCTTCTGCTGCTTCTACTACTACTACTACTACTACTACTACTACTACTACTACTACTACTACTACTACTACTACCAGGGGTGGATCTAGACAACTTTGACAGGGCAAAATTTAAAAAATATTTAAATTTTAAAATTTGACGGTGGGCCAGCCAAGAAACAAACCAAAGTTGTACTAATTTTGCTACAATTAGGCTGTTGCCTTGAGTTTTACTGAATTTGAATAAAAAATAATGAAGCTAACAACGGAGGACACAAAATGATACCCTTAAAAAACTGCCAACTTAATTCATCATATCAGCGTCAAATTGAACTATAGTACGTGCTCAGTAACACATGATGATAATTATTTGGTTGATCCAGGACAATTACCGTACATCAGAAACGTCGGAATTTAAAATAAAAAAAAAACAAAAATTTTAACATTTTGGCGCCGAATTGAACTTATATTACGTATATTAAATTGATTATTCGATTGAATTGTTTGACCCCTGCATGCTACGTGATGGTTTCATTATTTGAGGTGTTTTGCTTTAAAACGTAAACGCTTTTAAATTTTAAAAAGTTTTGTTTAGTTTTGGTGACAAAATATTTTATCATTCATTAAACTGCATAATGTGGATAACATAATTAACATCTGCATCATTCATTCACTCATTCATTCATTCATTCATTCTTTCATTAATTCATTCGTTCGTTTGATCGTTCACTCATTCATTCATGTACCATTAGTACCCACACTGCAAAATGCCGGGAAGAACATTAATACCATCTCCTACGCTTGAACCATCAAGCAGATGATGACGCAACCAATAAAAAACAGGGTTGGGCTGTTTTATCTCATCCCTAAATCCATCCTTCTGTCTATTTTATATATCTATTCATTCGTTCATACATTCATTCATTCGTTCGTTCGTTCGTTCGTTTGTTCGTTCGTTCGTTTGTTCCTTCATTCATTCATTCATCTATCCATCCATCCATCCATCCATCAATCATGTATAACCGCCCATTTTTTATTTTTCGATGTTTTATTTTACAAATAGATTTTTAACTGGCGGGCATTTCGTATGCATTGTTGACGTGTAATCATCGTCATCATCACCATCGTCATCATCACCATCATCACCATCATCATCATCACCATCATCACCATAACATTGTCATCGTCATCGCCTTAATCATCATCGTTGTCGTCTCATCATCTTCATCTTCTTCTTCTTCATCATCATCATTTTTTTCATCATCGTCATCATCGTCGATATTAAATTTCGAATTCACTTTATTCCGACACGTTCATTTATTTATTGCATCAATATCAGCGGAGGTTGGAGCGTGAATCGAGGGAGAAAGAGAAATAAAGTGAGAGAAGGAGAGAGAGAGAGAGAAAGAAAGGGAGAGAAAGCTAGACAGAAAAAACAGAATAGAAAAAAACTAAGAAAAGAATCATGTAGAAAAGACAGAGAGAGAGAGAGAGAGAGANAGAGAGAGAGAGAGAGAGAGAGAGAGAGAGAGAGAGAGAGAGAGAGAGAGAGAGAGAGGGAGAAGAGAGAGAAAAGAGAGAGTAAAGAAAGAGAGTTTCGTTGGAAAAATGGCGAGATGATCAGAGGCAACATTAGCATTATTAAAATTTAGTTATCAACATCATCAATAACATCAACAACAACATCAACAACCACATCAATAACATCAACAACATCATCAACATCATCAACAACCACATCAACATCATCAACAACCACATCAACATCATCAACAACAACATCTAAAACAACAACATCAACAACGTCAACAACAACGCCAACAACATCAACAACAACGTCAACAACATCAACATCATCAACAACAACATCAACATCTACAACATCAACAACAACATCAACAACGTCAACAACATCAGCAACAACATCAACAACATCAGCAACATCAAATGAACACAATCAATCAATAACACAAATATTACTGGCCTGTGTTATGTGTGTTGTGTATGTACGCGTGTGTGTGTGTGAGTGTGTGTGCGTGTGTGTGTGTGTGTGTGTGCGTGTGTGCGTGGTGTACTAAGTACATAAGTGTGTATGTGTTTGTACACGTGTCTTGAATTGTACACACAAACTTTCGCTTCCCTTTGATGTCTTCATTTCAAAATTCATACAAATGTACAATTCATTTCATTCCCTTCCCGTGTGGGTGGCTGTTTGCATGTTTGTTTGTTTGCTCCGGTTTGTGATAGTTCATTTCCTTTTTTCGTTTGGTGTCTCTCTCTCTCTCTCTTTCTCTCTCTTACTCTCTCTTTCTCTCCCTTCTTCTCGTTTTACTCTTTTCTTTTTCTCTTTCTTTCTAACTTTTTCTCGGCCCATTCTCGTTTTTCGACGTTTGTTCATCGTCATCATCATCACCCTCATCATCATCATCATCATCAACATTACAATCATTATCATCATAACAAAAGATTTGAAACCTGTTTTCTGCTTCGTTCTTTGTTTATTCGCACCCGTGGACATCATTGTATGTATGTGTGTATGTATGTATGTATGTATGTATGTATGTATGTATGTATGTATGTATGTATGTATGTATGTATGTATGTATGTATGTATGTATGTATGTATGTATGTATGTATGTATGTATGTATTTATGCGTATGTGTGTGTGTTTGTATGTATGTGTAGGTTTGCGTTTATGTGTGTGTTTGTGTGAATCTATGTACGTTTTATTTGAGTTCTTTGAAATTTGATCATAGTCATCATCACCATCATTACCATCATCATTCTCATTCTCATCATCGCCGTCATCATCTTCATCAACATCATTACCATCATCATTACCATCACCATCTGTATGTCATCAACAAAAACAACC